GAGCGTCTGCCGGTAAGGTGCCTTTCCTTGTTGGCATTTCCTTCCAGCACATCCCTGCGACTTGTGGGGTGCCGTGGCGATGTTTATTTGTTCGAGATCCCTGATGCTGCCGATGACCCTGTTGCACAGCAGACACTGCAGCGAATGACAGAGCTATTTCTTATCAGCTTGCTGTCTTCGCATTGCTGCTGTACGGCCCCTGACTCTTCTAGTTGGCTTCGTTACTCCGATCTCGTCGCTTTTTATCGGCAGTACACCTCTATGGATACAGAAGGGATCGGGTATGTGCTGCACTCTTCACTGGAGGCAGCGATGGGTCCACTTCTCTCCTGCGACTCACGCCTCGTGCAGGCTATGTGCTTCTCCCACAAGGGTAAGCACAACAAGGATGACCCCACGTGCGGCGAAAAAACGGTTAGTCTTGCTGTGTACATTAACCTCATGCGAATTCTGCTTAAAGGGAGCATTGCGGAGCGGGCCACAATTGCCTTTCGCGCCTTTGGTGGCGGAAGTAGCAATAACAACAATAGCCACTTCAACGCACCATCTGGGGGAAATGAGCATGATGAGGCCGAGGACTATGTGCGTTCTTCCGACTTTAAGCTGATTGCGCGCGATATTCTCTTCGGGCTGGGCTTCAATCCCTCAAAGGAAAACGAGAAAATAGATGATGTGGTGAACAGCATCCTCCTGGAAGCGCACGGTGGCGGCGGTAGCGAAATTGGCGCGTCCATGTCATACCCTGTCTTTCTGTTGGCCTACACGCTGCTTGTAGAACGGCTGGGGCTAGATGCAAAAAGGGAAGACGGAACAGCGCGTATGTGCGGCGTCCCACCGCCGTTGCTGCTTGGCTTCGGCACGGCACAGTGGGTGCCGCTCACGTACGCCATGGCGGGTGTGGAAGCGTCGGTCCGCGCAGCGATGGGCGGCGGTGGCGGTGGCGAGAAAAATACATTCGACCTCTCGCACGGGACACCAACCATCGCCGGCGTCGTATCCATCCCGCAGATTGGCGCCGTCGGTGCGGCGTCGAAGTTCCTCCACAAGCGAATTCCCGCTCTGCACGGCGACCGCGTGACGTTCGCCGACTACGCGCCGGCCACCTTCGCCGCCCTTCGGCAGCGCTTCGGCACCGACGCCGACACGTTCCTCGATGCCGTCGGCATCAGCGCGCTGCGGGCCCACCTGCTTCTGGGCCGCCTCTACGTGCCGCGAGACTTCCGCAGCAGCGGCCGCAGCGGGGCCTTACTGCTCAGTAGCCATAACCACCACTTCATTCTGAAGCGTATCAGCTTCGCAGAGTCTCGCACGCTTCGGCGCCTGCTGCCCGCGTACGTCGCACATGTCCACCGTCACCCACACTCTCTCCTGCAGCGCTTTGCTGGTCTCTACGCACTGACGCGCGGTGGCGAGAAGAGTTCGTTCATTATCGTGGAAAATGTCTTCGCGGAAGCGCAGCTTCCCATCGCGGCGGTGTACGACCTGAAGGGATCGACGGTGCACCGCACCACCTCGGCGGAGGAGCGTAGGAGCGGTGCCGCGGGAAAGGACAATGACTTCCTCGCCGACAAGAAGCAGCTGCATTTATCGACTGAGGCTCGTGACGCGTTGCTGGTGCAGCTTGAGGCCGACACGAAGCTGCTGGAGGAAGCCAACACACTCGATTACAGCCTCATTTTGGGAATACACATCAGTGATGGCGGCTTTGCTTCGTCAAAGAAATCGATAACGCTTTCTACACAGCAGAAGCAAGGGATGCGAGAGTTAACGGTCACTCTTGATGAACACCGGAAACAGGAAGCGCCTGACGGCCCCAACAACAGCGTGTTCCGCGCGTACTACGGCGGTGTGCCGTCCATTGACGGGACAGAGGTGTACTACTTCGGCATCGTGGATTGTCTCACGGCATACGGCCTGAAGAAAGTGGGTGAGCACTACGGCAAATCGATGCTCCTGCATGACATGAAGGAGGTGAGCTGCGTGCCTCCGCCTGACTACCGCTCGCGGTTAATGAACTTTGTGCGTTCCATTCTTGTGGAATGAGAAGCGTGCGCACGTGCCAATGCAAGTCATTGTTTTCCTTCTTAGTTTGTTTTTGGTGGGGTGGGGTGGTTGGGCGCAGTTTCGCGCCCCCTGCTCCCCGTGATTCACTGCCGACCTCATACCTGTGTGGGTCCGTGTGTTGTGGCTCTGCTGAGTGTGCCTGCTTGTCCTTTCCCCGCCACTCACACACACACACACNCTCTCTCTTCGTTTTCTTTTTCTCTTCGTGCCACACAAGGGAAAGGGGGAGAAAAAGGTGCACGCGCAAGCAAGGCGCAATGAGTATCCCTGCTAACAACGGGGTCGAAGTGAACACCGCGCTCTCGCGACTCATTGGGGACGCATTCCGCGAAAGAGACGTCGCTCGGGTAGAAGAGTCGCTTCGGTGTGCATTGGATGCCCTCAAGGCGAAGAGAGAACAGGAATGGGATACATGCACGCCAGGAAGTATGTGCAAGTCACTCTTGCATGCATACACCCTCACTATTCGTGAGAACGCTGTGGACAGTACAGAAAATGTTAAAAACGGCGAGCCTATGTGGAAGTGGATGCTGCACCTCACTGTGTGCACTGGCCTTACCGTCGTGGAGCTCTGCGCCATGCCCGCTGCAGGCAACAAGGCCGCTACTGTGATGATGCAAACACTATCGGAGCTCCTGCGCCCGCCTTCCCACGCATTGCGCGAGAAGACGAGCGACACACAGCTCTTCTGGCGGTGCTACCCGTGGTGGTGTTGCCTTCTTCACCATTGCCTCGCGGCCTCACAGCAGAGCGAGGCTGTAGATGCAGCAATCTCGGACGTGGCTTCCCGCGCGGTGGGTTGGGTGGCGCACCGCTATGCCTTGGCGGAGACGACGGAGGCGGCGGTGCACAGCAGCGTGGACGTTCGGGCATTCCTCGCGGCGCTGGAATTGCCGCGACGCATTCATTCACGCGCGCCGACGTTGGTGCGTCCCGGTGAACACGACTTGCGGTCCAGCGTCGGCGGCGAATGGCTCGGTGAGTCCGTGTACCCTATGTCGCTCGGGCAGTCTATTGATGTCACGGGGGCAAGTATCGTTCTTTCATACATTAAAACGGAGCACCTGCAGCGGGACCTCTGCAACGACAATTATGCTCTGGAACTCGAAGCGTCATCATCCACTTCGAGAAGAAGTCCCAGCAATGAGCGCCAGAGGGACATCCCCCAGAAAGAGCCGCTGGCGTCGCGGCGCGCACTCTTTGTGGCGGCAAAACTCGGCACCCTTTTCGTTGTGCAGGATCTCCACACACTGCTCCCCCTGCGAGCTGGGGGAAGTGCCCCTCAAGAAGGACAAGAAGAAGAAGAGGAGGATTCAGATGAAGATGATGCGGTGAAGAGCACATCAGGGGTGGTGCACGCTGGAGATCTCCATTGTGAGATGTGCCGTGTGATGGAGCAGTATGCTTTGCTGCCGGATCCAGTGGCGGCACAGTTCTCTGCAGCGCACAGCCTCATCCTCCTGCACGCGGGCTTGATGCGTGCTCCACTGCGCGTGTCGGCGCTCGTCAGGCGGTGTATGGCTGAGAAAGCAGCAGCAGCGGTGGTGATGGCGCTCCTCCGCCATGATGCAAAGGTGGCTGATGCACTCACCTCTGTTATGGCACACTCTCGGGAAGGACCGGCATCTTGTTACTTCGTTGCTCTGTGGTGCGCTGCGCTTTCTGCGCGCCTGAGTGAACCCTCTGATACAATGGCGTGGCTCTTCGTAGGCCTTTCTCGTGGCATTGAAAAGTACACAACAGAGGGGGGTGAGGTATTAGATGTCTTCGTGGGTGCGGTGGATGCGGCATTTGCGTGTATGATTCACGCAATGGAGACAATAATTATGCATTCGGCAGTCGCACCTCCTGGTGGAGCTGTGCATCGCTTGAAGGATCTGTGTGTCCGTGGCTTCATGGAGGTTTTGGATGCCTTGCTGCGTGTCAACCCTCAGCCCGTTGGGCCGACGCTCGAAAGCCGTCTCTGTGAGTTAATATTGGATGAGGAGCCGGGGTGCACTTCTGTCACAGTGCGGGGGACGGCGCAGGTGCGGGAGGCTCTCAAGGCGTACTGCACATCGGTGGTGGAGGAGCGGCTTAGTGATCGAGGGCAGCAGACGGCTGCGGTGGTGCCGCAATCAATGTGGTGGCCGGATGCAGAGCCTGATCGGCACGAGAACTGCCGCCGTGTGCTGCAGCACACACTCACGGTGAGTGAATACGCCTGTCGTCTGGATACCATCACCCACGCCGTGGGCCGTGGCACGAGGAGACACAGCAAACACCCGGCCGCATTCTTCCTGGATGGGAACGAGGGGCCGTGCATGCACCTCTTCTCGATGCCTCCCAATGCTTCAACTAGTGGATGGATTGAAGAAGTGCAATGCGTAGCGGCATGCATAATCGCAACCACCGCAAGGGCTTTCGGCAGAAAGAAGTTTCGCTCCATTTTTGCGTCACCGTTTGGGGCATCCTCTGGCCACTACGCGGCAACATACACACGCCTGCTCTATCTGCGTTTCCTCGAGAAGGTCCACCACACTAGCTGCTCAGACCATCAATGTCTGCGGGCGCTCCTGCGAGCGCTGCGATCCCTCACAGTGGCGGAAAAGGGGGCCCATCGCAGTGCGGTGAGCCTGTCTGTTCCCACCATGTTAAGTCACATGTTGCCGAGTGGCGTTGCTAAAGTAGATGCTGGCGGCGCCGCGATGGAAGAAGCAACGCCAGTGGCGTTGCCAGAGCAAGATATGACGCGAACTCCAATGTCCGTGACTGCCTCCTTGGTGGATGAACTTGGTGGTGGTGGTGGTGGTGATAGTAGTAATAGCAGTAGCAGCTTCTGCCGCAGCAGCATTCGCAAGGAACGCAACGTCCTGGCCGAAAATGAAAATGTTGACCACACAGATGTGGTTGCCGAGACCACGCCGGTCTCTCTGGCGCCAATCATTCCGGTGCTTTCTTTTGGTGCTCTGGCGCCACCGGCATACTACACCTCCAATGGAGACACTGGTGGTGCACCGGTGGATCAGACGTGCAGCCCACCTATTTCTGTCCCACCAGTGCCAGCGCTTCTCCCAGTACCGACGCTGTCGCCATTGCAACCGACATCGAACGGATCAGTAAAGGACGTGGATGTAAGCACTAGCTGTATGAGGGAGCGTAATCCTCTGGCTACTCTTGAGGATCCTGCAACGATGGCAGAATTGCTGCTTTTTCTCTGCTGCTTGTTGCCGGGGCGTGAGGGGGGGATGATAGGCCAGTCGAGCCTCGCTGCTGCCCACCATCACGCCGAAAAAAAGTCGAAGCGGCCTCGACGTGACGGCGCTGGCGCGATCCCACCATTTGTACGCGTCCTTCGCACAGTGGAGGAGTTTACCCACCAATCTGAAAACAGGCATGTGGTTGAACTGTTTGACAAGCTTGTCACAGAGGAAATGCAGACAACGAGTGCCCTCTGGATGGGTGTAGATGTGCTGCGATGTCTGTTGCTTCCACAGCCGCAGCTGCTTGACGGTCTGAATGTCGTGCGACGTATTGGCTCAGGCGGCTATGGCGCGGTCTTTTCCGCGATGCACTCCTGCGCCACCCATGCTGTGTGCCACCATGGGTGCTCACTGGGGGATGGGAAGCCTGTGGCTCTGAAGCTGCTGCCCGTCACTCGGCGTGACGCGGATGACTGCACCACCTTGGTGAGCTGCCACACGGAGGCAACTGCCCTTCGCCGTTTGCAGGGGCACCTGCGCATTTGTGAGATGTTCTTCTGTGGATGCACAGGTTCGCATTATGTTGTTGCCATGCCATTTTACAAGGGTGGCTCCCTCCGTGAGTGGCGTGCGACGAAGAGTGGCTTCCCTGTGGGTGCTGTCTCTGGCGTTCGTCGTTTCAGCCTCACGAGGGAAGAATCTGTGATGTCCACGACGTCCTCGTGTAGGGGCACCGTTCTCTCTGTCTGTGGGCCCATATTCGATCAGGTGCTAGAGGCGGTTGAGTTCATGCATGCCCACCGCATTCGCCACAATGACCTGAAGGCTGACAACATCCTTATTGAAGATTTCTACATGGAAGCCGTGCCGTTTGTGCGGGTTTCTGAAGGCTGCGAGCGACCCCAGACATTAGACGAGAGGGAGGTCGTCATTCCCACTGCTGTCCGACTCTGCGACTTTGGCGTCTGTGAGGTCGTCGGGGAGGACGTGGGCATCATGCGACACGTCAACTCGGCGAGTGGCGAGGCGCGCTGGGGTCCCACCAAGGGGACGGAGGCGGTGCAGGCACCAGAGGCACTCGCGTTGGCGAACACTGCATTACGGCCGGCAACGAGAGACAGCGATGACACACCTTCGGAAGTGGCTAATGTTCTCGAAGTGCGTGATGCATCCAACGTTACCCTGGAGCTGGCGGCCGATATGTGGGCGTGCGGCTGCCTTCTGTACGAGCTGCTGACGGGAGTAATGCTTTTTGGTGGTGCCAACCTTGGTCGGCTTCTCGTCCTTGCGGGCTCTTTGCAAGGTGGCGAGTACCTTGGACATGATGTTCTGCAGCCACATCAGAGAAACACACTCGATAGTATGGGCTGCGGCATCACAGAGTTCGTGCTAAAGTTGCTTTCGGTAGACCCCGCGGAGCGCCCAAGTGCCACTGAAGCTCGGTTTGCATGGAAGAATTTGATGCAGGCACAGGAAGACTAACAATGAGGCGGCATAGCGCGGGAAGGTGCTTGGGTGCTGTTGCATTGTTGTCTTTGTTGTTATGACCTTTTGCGTTTTGTTTTCCCTTTCTGTTCCTGTTTCCTTCTATGCCTTGGCCCGCTTCTCTTCCTCTCTGTGCAGCAGACACATACACACATCCGTCGCCGTGGTTGTGGTCAGTGCATTGCATCTATCACTCCTTTGCTTGACGCAATCATTCCTTAGCACGCAGGAAAAACAACAACCAAAAACAATAGCCAAGAGTAAGCAAGTAGCATATAGCGGTGAACCAACAGCTAAAACAACAGAAAAAATGACTAAGTGCCGTCCGCTGAGGATCGTCTGTATCGGGGCTGGTTATGTTGGCGGCCCAACGATGGCTGTCATCTCGAAAAAATGCCCACACATCACCGTCCATGTCATGGATGTTTCCGAAGGACGGATTGCGGCATGGAACTCCCCCGCCCCTGCCCCTGGTGAAAAGAGTCGTCTACCCATCTACGAACCGGGGCTAGCCGAAATTGTGTACGAGCAACGCGGCAAGAACCTCTTCTTCACGACGGACAAGAATTGTCTTAAGGGCGCCGACGTTATCTTTGTTGCGGTCAACACCCCGACGAAGGAAAGGGGCATGGGGGAGGGCTTCGCGGCAGATCTTACATACATTGAGAGCTGTGCGCGTCTGATTGGCGAGACGGTCAGTGAGGGCCACTATGTTGTGGTGGAGAAGTCCACTGTGCCGGTACGATGCAGTGTCTCCATCCGCCGCATCCTCAGCGCGTACAAGAAGGACGACAGCATCACATTCTCCGTCGTCAGCAACCCCGAGTTTCTCGCGGAAGGCACAGCCATCAACGACCTCACGAACCCCGATCGCGTGCTTATTGGCGGTGAAAGTGAGGCTGCAATCGACCTTGTCTCCTCCATCTACGAAACCTGGGTAGCGAAGGAGCGGATTATTCGCACAAATCTGTGGTCCAGTGAGCTATCCAAGCTCGTGGCGAACGCGTTTCTGGCGCAACGCATCTCCTCCATCAACTCCATTACTCCACTGTGCGAGCTCAGCGGCGCCGACATCCTTGAGGTGCGCCGTGCCATCAGCGCCGACAAGCGTATTGGGAAGTACTTCCTCAACCCGTCTGTGGGCTTCGGTGGCTCGTGCTTCCAGAAGGATGTCCTCAACCTCGTCTATCTCTGCCAGTCCCTCTCTCTTAACGAAACAGCGGAGTACTGGTCGCAGGTGGTAAAGATGAACAACTATCAGAAAGAGCGCTTCTATCAGAGGATCGTCAAAAACTCCTTTGACACTGTGAACATGAAAATCATGGCGATTATGGGCTTCGCCTTTAAGAAGGACACAGGTGACACGCGTGAGAGCGCTGCCATCTATGTTTGTGCACGCCTCCTTCAGGAGGGCGCGAGGCTTCGGATTTATGACCCCAAGGTGCCGCGTGAGTACGTGATGATGGAGCTGGAGAACTTCTTCAATAAGGAACACCTACTGAACAGCTGCACATACGCCCGATACCGACGGGAAAACCTGGTGCAGAGCACCGACGCGGGCATAGAGGCGATGCTAAAGAACGTGGAGATGGTTGACACACCACTGGACGCCTCAATAAATGCCAGCGCCATGATCATCTTAACCGAGTGGGACGAATTTTCCACAATGGACTACACCAAACACTACGAGGTGATGAAGAAACCTCCACTTGTGTTTGACGGTCGTCTCGTTGCTGATGATAAGATGCTTAGGTCTGTTGGCTTCGAGGTGTGCACCATTGGTAAACCGCCGACGTCTGGCAACGACGATTTCCTTTACGGTAGCCGCTAAGAATGAGAAGATGAGGTAAAGGATTCGGATCTGTGGTAAGGTATAAAATTCCGTCTTTGATTTTCTATTGTGATGGCTCTTTTGGTTTTTTTTCTTCCGACTGTAGGGACAGGGGCTATAAGCACCAAGGTGCGCCCAGAGAGAAAAACAAGGTTGACGCGAAAGGGGGCTTTCTCGTTCCCTCACCCACACGTCGTGTGCCTCTTGGGGGAGAAGGAAGGAAGGAAGAAAGGAGGAAGGGTGAGAAGCTCGGGAACCCGCATAGTTCATGCGGAGGTAACAAAGTTTGCTTCTTCCGTTGTTGTTGTTTGTTCTTCCCTTATTAATGTGAGTGTGTTTTCTTTTTACCGTTGTTTATCATATGATATATCTTCGCTTCTGCTCTCCACGCAGGGGAACGTTACAGCCATTGGACTGTGCATCTTTTTTTTTTTTAATCTACATTACTCCTCCTTATGTTTCTTTTGCTGTTGAGATTTTTTGTGTGTGATTTCCCTTTTTTTTCTCGTGGTTGTTGTTCCTGTGAGCAATGCATATTTGGTACCCGCACCGCGGCAGCATGCGCCACCATGCGCACACACACACACACACACACCGTCAAGAGCTGGAGGGGTGCTACGCCTCGTCTGGTGGGTGCGGCTGCCGTCCCAACGTTCCTGATTCTCTTTCTTTCTATACTGCTGCTTCCCTTGAGAAGAGGAACGGAAAGGTACTAAAGAAGGAGAAGAAACGAAGGAGGAAGGGGGAGCAGGCGGAGATTGTGTTGCAATCTCCCGGCGTATTGTTCCTGTTGCTGTTTCACCGCACCGTCTCGGCTGGATGCCTCACTGGCGGCATCATCCATGATGGAGGAGCACGCAGACCCTATGGGGCCCGCCCAGTGGATAGGGCCGACGCCACTGGTGGAGTCATTCCATGTGGCGATGTGGTACGTGCTGCGGCACTTCGGCGGGGTAGTGGACGCCGCCCATCTCCTTTCATGGCGCACGCTCCTCGAAGTGCCGGTGCGCACCGCGCCAAACTCGAGTACATCCATCGACTTTGCAGAGGAACTTGAGCTGCTTCTGCGCCTCGCTCTGCAGAAACCCACCTGGCTGCGGGTGCGAGCGCTAGAGGAAAAATACGCTGAGCAGCTGCACGTGGGTCCGTCACTGCGGCGGTTGGCAGCACTGCCTGTACCTGCTGGCGCTGACGGCGAGAAGCAAGAAATCAGCCAAGACGAGATGCTCTTGTGTATTATTGATGGGAGTGTGGTGGCACAGCTCGTGGCGGCGGCTGATGAAACCGCGAGGAAGATTTTGTCCACGGCGAGAGTCACTGAGCTGCGGCAGCTCGCCCGTATCTGTCCACCACATCGCCGCGATGATAGAGGAAGAAGAGAGAAGAAGGGCGGCGACGACGATAATAATATTGATGAGGATAACAATCCCAAGAGCAGCGACGGTGGTAGCGACGCAGAGCGTGTGGTGGATGCTTGCGCATCAGGGGGGCTTCCCTCCCTTACTATGAAGCGCACTTCCAAAACGCTACCGTCGCGAAAGGAGGAACTTATCGACTTTATTCTCTCGACGGGCTGCACTGCGGTGTCGTTCGCCAGTGTCTGGGACACTTTTGTCGGGCCCCTGTGCCGCGTCCACCCTCAGTTCAAGGCGGGTGCGGTGCACATAAGCGAGCTGCTCCATGTCTTCACGTATCCCTGCGGTGCGGGAGGTGTGCTGGGGACGATGGACTCCGCTGGGCCTGTGCGCCCGCCCTCCGCCGCACTTCTGCTGCTGGCGTCAAGGCTAGCTCCGCATCATAAGGCCTGTGGCGTTAAATTGCCTTCGTTACCGTGGTGGAACGGGTTTGCCGCTGGTGAGGATCCTTTGCCAGCATCATCGCCACTGTGCCTCTTTTTATCACCTGTGGTGCTGGAGAGCTACATGGAGGCGTTGCATCTCCACCAGCAGCTGGTTGAGGCTAGTGAAGGCAAGTCCCGGAGGCGGTGGCACCTCACCTTCGCGACAACGTCACATGAGATCATAGAAAATGGGCTCGCCCAATTACAAGAGTATCAACGGCTGAGTACCTCCATAGATACGAAGGAGTCTATGGCGCACAAGAGGAGGAGGCGCGAAGAGGAGGAGGAGGAGCAGGGTGTTATTTCTGTGGAAGCCATGCTGCGGCGTGGGGGTCTGCTTTATGAGCATCTTCTCCCTTTCCTCCCCAAGCACGCGTGGTTTGCGTGTGCAGAGATGCTAGTGCCCGTGTTGCAATACAACAAAAAGTGGGAGTTGGCCAATAGGTGGTTGCGGATGATGTTGGAGCAGCCAGTGCATGTTGTAAGGTCGGCCTGTGGTGCCATCACATTGCCCTTGTACTACCGCTGTCACAAGCGTGGAAAATGGTGGCACCGAATTGCTCAGAATCTCGTTCACTTGGGGGATAAAAAAGCGGCATTGGATATTCTTGAACTGCAGCAGCAAATATGGCGACAACAGCATTCCCCACAGCATTACATCCAAGCGGAAGAGGCTAAGAACCTACCTGTGCCTGTCCAGCGTCGCGCCCGTCTTTTGTGTGCATTGTTCCCCTCCGTGAAAGCCACGAATCAGAAATTGCAGAAGAACATCGCATTATACAACGCTGTTGGTGAATACCATCGACAACGCTTCTGCCGCCGCGCTGACCGTATCGCCATTGAGGGAACGATTGCGTACCTACATCGATCCCTGCACCGCTGGACTCCATTTCCCCCGTCACGTAAGCGCTTCACCAGTCAACTGCTCTCGGCGAGGGAGGTCACGGTGCATGCCGCGCGGGACCCGGAGGATGCGACGCTGTGGCGGGACCCGCACCATACACTCTCCTCTTGTCGCGTTGAGGAGCACGTACTCCGCTGGTTTGTCGCCGGACGGAAGAGCGACGGTGGATGGGCCGGGCTGCACTGTGAGGGGCGTTGGATTGCGTCTCTGGCACGTATCCTCCTATGGGATGCTTACGTCTGGGACCCCGATGCGGAAGGGGAAAAGGAGGCGGGGTGCATGACACTGGATGCTGGAGCACCGGCGTTAATTTGGCTCTCCCCACTGCAGAATGGCCCGTTGGATCTCACCAGCACTATTGAATTTGCGCGGAGGCGGCGCCATATTATTGAAGAACGATTGAGATTCTTTGAAGAGTGCCCTCGAGACACGCTTATCGACTATGTGAAGCAGCGGTGTCGATTGGGCAATGAGTTGTCAGGCGTTGCAACCTCCACGCGAGACGCGTTGGATGATGGCGAGAAGTCGCCGCATGGAAGCGGGAGCGAGGCGAGTCTGCTCGCCAGTGAGGATGATGGGATTGTGCTGCCCGGTCAGCGGACTCCGCCGCAGAGGAACAAGTGGCAGGCAGAGTGGGCATCCTTCTCTTCCTGTTATTCTTCAGCTTGGCATCTGGTGGATGTGGGAGATTTGCCTCTACTGAGCCTTCTTCAGGCCGTTCCGCAGCGACCACTCTGCGCTCTGCTTCGCAGCATCTATCTCTCCCAACCGGAGGAGGGCTACAGCATCCGCTTCTCGGGCTTCCCAGACCTCGTCTTGTGGCGCGAGGTGCCATCTATCCTTGGTGACACAAGTTTTAAACTCGTGGAGGTGAAGAGTCCAAACGACACATTGAGCGAGGCGCAAATTGCCGTCATTGATACTTTGTGCCGCTGTGGTTTTGATGTGTCTGTGGCTCGTGTCACAGACGGTGCTGAGGGAGCGAGGCAGAAGTGTCGACGCAGTGGGAATCACATTGATTCGGACCATGCGCAAGACGTCGTGCTTCTGGACGGGTGAGCAAGTCCTTTCTCCCTCTTTTTCTCTCTCTCTCTCTCCCTCCAGTGAAGGCGGCAACTCTGGAGAAGAAGAAGCGAGAGAGATAGAGAAAGGGTGGGTTCTCCATCTGCTTCTCAGATGATCATAACGGCAAGTTTGCTTCCTTTTTTTTTTTTCGTCTACTCTTGTGTGCTGGGAGATGTGGAGCCGCACCCTGAGCGAGGAAATGAGACTGTGTGCCGGGTTTGTGCAAAGTGCCGCTGTTGTCTTAGTTCTGTGTCCCGTCCAACCCCTCAGCATACCCACATACCTCTGGTTTTCTTTTTCCCTCGTAAACTAACATTGTATTTTATTATTATTATTATTATTATTATTATTATTATATATATTTATATTTAGCTCTGGCGCATGCAAAGAACGTTATCATTGATGTCAAGCGTTTGCGCAGNCCAACCCCTCAGCATACCCACATACCTCTGGTTTTCTTTTTCCCTCGTAAACTAACATTGTATTTTATTATTATTATTATTATTATATATATTTATATTTAGCTCTGGCGCATGCAAAGAACGTTATCATTGATGTCAAGCGTTTGCGCAGGCATGATGTCGGCTGGCGTGACTGAAGGGAGGTCGTTTGGCGACGTCTTGCGAGTTGTGGACAGCATGACAAACAAGAGACCGGAACCCTGCCCCAATAATTTAGAGGTGACGAAGCTTCTCGTCGACCGCCTCAATATGCAATCGGATCTGGAGAAACTACGTTTTGTTCACGTGGCTGGGACAAAGGGTAAGGGCACGACCTCGGCATACACCGCGGCGCTCCTCCAGGCATACGGGTACAAAGTTGGCCTCTTTACGTCGCCTCACCTCACGGATGTGCGAGAGCGCATTCTCGTCGGCAACTCCCTCCTCTCCAAAGATACATTCGCCCGATACTTTTTTGGACTTCGGGACCGTTTTTCACAGCTCGCACAATCTGAAAGTCAGATGTGCCGCGACCTCGCGAATCGTAGTAACTTTTTCCGCTTTATGTTCCTTCTTTCTCTGTATATCTTCGCAGAGGAGTCTGTTGACGTGGCGGTGATTGAGGTTGGCATGGGTGGCCGTATTGATGCCACCAATGTGGTTACGCCAGAGGTATGTGTTATTACGGCACTTGGTCTGGACCACACGGAGATATTGGGCAACACTGTGCAAGAGATTACTCTTGAGAAGGCGGGTATTATGAAACCTGGTGTTATATGCTATGCCGCACCGCAGAACGATCACCGATGCACGCGCAAGGTGCTGGAGGAGCACAGTCGTAAAGTTGGGTCTCCTGTAGTCTTTGTTGATGAGCAGACATTACCGATACGCAACTGGCCTCGTCTCGCCATTGGGGGTAGCCATGCGATTGAGGATTCCAAGTTGGGTTTATTGGCGGCCAGGCGTGTGGCTGGGATACTTCCAACGCTTCCGCTGGACGAGGTGGAACGCAACGTGTTGCGGACCATGACGTTTCCTGGTCGGTCGCAGGTGGTACCGATCAACGGTGGGGCGGATGTTACACTATACCTTGATGGTGCCCACACCTATGAAAGTTTGTCCTCCGCCACACGTTGGTTCATGGATGAAAGCAGCGTGATGACTGGAGATGCGAACCCGCGACGTGTGCTTCTCTTTTATTCTTCTCGGGATCCAAGTCGTGTCCTCAAGGCATTTATGCCATTTGTTCAGCACTTCTCCAAGGTGGTGATTGCCAAGGTGTATAACCCTCGAACGGTAAAAACAGAAGAATCGATGAATGAAGAGAATCAGGCACACAAAGAATTAGTCGCTGTTACAGAATGCTGGAGAAATCTGTACGGCGAAGTTACATGTCTTCCCTGCGGTACGCGCTTCAATTCCCTTCAGGATCTTATCGACCTTGTGGTTCCGGCTGCTAGTGATCATGAAGACGCCTCAAAGCCGGCACAGATCTTCGTCACAGGTTCGTTCTTTTTGATAGCAGATGTCATGAAATTAATATCCACACACGAATCGAGTCTATGAGGAGGAGGGTAAATGCAGGCAACGCGAGGTAATCTTGCCTGTTTGGCATCTTGCACTCCTTGTTAACCCAAATCACAGACGACATCTTTTCTGGGAGTTCGTGGGGGGGGGGGGGNGGGGGGGGAATGGGTCTCTAAATGTTGTCTAATTGATTTGCAGGCTCGACTGGTTTCATTCTCATTGTTGTCTGGTCTAATCAGAAGCTTTCGAGTAGAGCCCAGGGAAAACAACTTGAGCTTTACTGCCCCACTAGCCCTGTATAATTCCCGCCACGCAGGTGGGGTCTCTGCAAGGTGTGAAGCCTTAAAGTTGCCCTTCCGTGAGAGAGATGTTGATTTGGTTTGGAGAAACGATTCGGAGTGTGGGGGGAATGCCCGGCTGAGTGAATTTGACGGCCCAGAGAGAGAATGAAGAACTTGAATGGAGTGATCTGATTCTGCTGTTTTCTCTCTCTCTCTCTCATCATCATCATCACCATCATCATCGACTCCTGAGCAATAGAAGTTATGACGACGAGGACATCAGACATATATTATCTTTTATGGGTTCTACATGATTCTCTGTAGAAAACTGTTCGGATGCGGCTTGTGGTGGTCAGTTGGGTGTGTTTTTGTTGTTGGTTCTTTGTAGTTTGCTGCTGTTTTTGTCTAAATGTATATATACATATATATGAACTGCGCGTTGAATGACGTTTTGCTTCGATTTTTCTCCTCTTTGTTTTCTTGTGTCATTATTATTTTGTTATCATCATTAGTGTGCCTCTTCAGCAAGGTGTGAAATCGATGGAAATGACTGGGCCCTATGTTGTGCTTGATGCGGTACCTGGTGCTGATTCCTTTGGCGACCAAACCGCGGCTGTCCTTTGGAGGTATCTGGCGGAAGGCGATGCCCTCGTAAAGGTGGTGCATTGTGCCAAACACTACGGTGCCGCATTGCTTCAGAGCGGTCGCTTGGTGTTGTTGGCTCCTGAGTCTCTCAAGCATCAGCTGCATGGAACTATTATTGAAAGTGGCAGTGGTATTGTGCGTGACGTGGATGCAGGCGATACGCATATTGTTTTTTGCACTGACGACGGAACTGTCTTCTCTTTTGGATACAGCAACAAATACGGGCAGCTGGGTGATGGCACGGTGTGGATGAGTCTACCCTCGGAAGCGAAAAAACTCAGTAATAACGGGGAGGAAGAGGAAGGGGAAGGGGAGGAAGATGATGGACTTCCGAGATTGTCAGTGCCACATATGATCAACGGGTTTGGTTTGGGAAAGGATGGAAGTGATGAGGGAGATATTGTGGAAGGAAAACGTCAATGCGTGCCTGTGATTGCAGTGGCTTGCGGTGCCCATCACACTTTGCTATTGACGAATCAACGAAATTGTGTTTACGGTTGTGGTCTCGGAGCAGAAGGACAACTCGGAGGGAAGCGACGTCCGTTGTTGCAGCCATCGTTCAAGTCTATTCGATTACTCTTTGGTCTGCCTATCAAGCAGGTCTCGGCAGCGGGAAGGCATTCCTTTGTTTTGCTGCAAACGGGAAAACTGCTGGCTTTTGGTGACAATACCTGTGGGCAACTTGGCCTCGGATCTACGCAAGCAGTGGGTACGCCAACGACTGTTGTATTTCGCACTCCAGTAGATAATGAAGGGAAGGAAGACAATGACGAGAGATTTCGGGCATTAGATTCTTATGCACTTAAGGGCTTAAGAGCTTCGTGGGGCACTGCGGAGAGTATGTATTTCCCGCTGCGCGTTGAGCGTATTAGCCCTGAATTAGATTCCAATGAACCTTTTATTGTGTCGGTGTGGAGCTGTGCCTCCAGAAGTGTGGTGCTAACAGATGCAATGGAGTGGTTGACGTGTGGGCTCCCGCTCTCACGAAATCCTTGTGACTTTAATAAAAGACCATGTCAGAGAATGGATCGGTACGGACCGCTGGGCCGCTGGATTGAATGCGAAAAGGATGCTGCCGTCTTTGGTAAGATGCGTTGGTCAGAGAGGTTGGCAGCTTCGTTGGATAGTGCTTTTTCATCATTCTCCGAGGGAAGAGAAGGTATGAGTGCGTCGCTTGACGATATTATTGGTGCAATTCGGGTCGTTTGCAGCAATCGAACTGTTGCAGTGCTTATTCCTGGTGGTGGCGAAGAGAAAAAGGCACTTTTGTTTGTTCAGGGCGAAGTTTGCGCATCCACTTTAGTAGACCAGGGTCAGCGTTCATTGTTAGTGCCAACCCTTCGTGCAGACAAACTTTTGCAGGACCACGAGGTCGATGACGACTCATGTGAGCATTACGTTGGGCACTCGCATGCTCTATTTGCCTCTGGGCTGGGGTGCATTGTTGTGATGTGATGTGGCTTGTTTGTATGAATGGTGTACTGCGGTGTTTGGTTTGGCTGCCGCGCTCCGCTGTTTGTTTGTTTGTGTGTGTGTGTGTGTCGGTCTTTTGGCACCCATGTATATTTCCACCTCGGTGGTGATGTTTTCTCATCTGACCGGCCTCCGTTTTACATGTGTGCTGACTCGCTTGCGGCCGCTGAACCCGGATAGGTGAGACTTGTTTTTCGTTTTTGTTCTCTCTTTTCCTTTTCTTTGTAGCGCAAGGGTGGGGGAGAAAGGAAGGAAGCTTCCAGGAACAAAAGCCCTCAGGCGGAGAGGGTGTTGGGGGGCGGGGGAGCGGGGCAGAAAGAAGCCCCGCCCGCCCCCGTTCTTTTTTTTTCTTGGGAGCCTGCGATAGGAATGGTCAAGCCTTACCCTACATGCTGAGAGTGGGTCCTATAACTTGAAATAATACGTGTCTTGTCTTAGCTAGCGTAAGGAAAGTGTCGCAAAGCGTAAGTTTGAAACGAAAGGTAAGTCAGAAGCAAGCAATCACAATGCTATCCNACGTATTGTGATGAATTTTGGGATCCCCTCTTAGCAAGTAGGGTATGACTTGGCCATTCCTTTCGCAGGCTCCCAAAAAAGAGGAACATATTGTTTTCCTACCCCCCAGTTTTTTTTTGGGAGCCTGCGATAGGAATGGTCAAGCCTTACCCTACTTGCTGAGAGTGGGTCCTATAACTTAAAATAATACGTGTCTTCTCTTACGTAAGGAAAGTGTCGCAAAGCGTAAGTTTGAAACGAAAGGTAAGTCAGAAGCAAGCAATCACAATGCTATCCACTACTTCCCAGCAGGCCCTCATGGACGTGGAATGGATGACGAGCCTGTCAGCTCTCAGGGCGTTCGTCGAACATTGCGGACGGACCCCGTTTTCGTTTGAGTACAGACCAAATTTCAGTACGCATGTTGATCGCGTCGAGGGCATACTCACATTGGAAGATGGGGAACTGACCATTTGTCTGGAGAATGGAAGAAAGGCCAGTTTTGTTTCTTTGCGACACTCCATGGTGTCTTTTAACATGCCAAAGAACGAGAATTTTCTCAAGGCTTTTGATGATGCCAGGGCGACTTTCCGAACCGAGTGGATGGCGCTGGAGGACAGCAAGTCAATGCTGTATCAGCAGTACGAGATGGCCAGGGCACAACTGGCGGAGGAAAATTTAAAGATCCAGCAGGACGCTTACGCTCAGACGGTGGGATCCCACGATCGCATTAATCAATTGCAGCATCACATTAACACGTTGGAAGCGCAGAAAAACCAGCTGTGCGAGGAGAAGATCCAGATGCAAGCCCATATCAACCAGATGCAGGCTTGGTGTGCCCAGAGGGAAGAACCTACGGGACTGCCAGTTCAGCCGGCTACGACAGAGGGTGACAACGACTTTAGTCCACAGGCTTTTCACACCTCGGCACATACTGCCAAGATGGACGGGCATGCCGAACGGTCTTCTTTTGCGTTGGGGGCCCCGCCCCAGGTGGGGTTGCGAGGAATTCAAGAACTGAAGAACAAGTTCGTGGACAAAGGTTTTCGTCCGGAGGAAAATATCCGGACTTTTGAAGGAGCCATGGAGTATTTAGTGGAGACTTCCCCAGAACAGTTGCTGGCGGCTTATTGCGACCTCTTCCCATTACCCATGAGGCCTGGTTTTGAGCTCTGCCAGGCGTGGGACAACTTTGTGGCATGGATTTATGCTATCCGCCACGAGGGCATGTCGGCCGAACTGACGCAATTGGGCAGACGTTTACATTATCAGCTTCGGGTAGCTCAGGCGGCGAGGGACCACTCCGGAGTCAACATCCAAACTCTTGTCAACGCCATCCGCAATCCAAGAAAAAAAGAAAACCCTGTTTTTCAGGCGGTTCAGAAAGCGAAGACACATCCTGCCCACCCCCCGAGCTATGCACGATGTGTTCGATACGGCCGCACCGGGCATCACAACACAACTTGCTATGTGCAAGTAAAAAAGACTCCGTTTAAGCCAAAAAACGATTATCGGCCCCGGAGGCAATGAAATCCGGGGCCTGGAAAGTATTGGAATCCCTACCGAGTGGCCGGGGTATCGCTGGGTTGCCGGGAAATGGACAATTCTACGCGGGAGGGGGCCAGCACATCATCCCTTCAGGCCGGGCCTTCCGGGCGGCCCCCACTTGGGAGGGATCAGCAGGCACAGGCCCTTCCGCCATTAAAAACTTCGGCAAACGAGGTCACAGTGATCGCGGCACCGTCAGACAACCCATATGTGACAGCACTGGCGTCCGAGGCGAATCGCATAGCCAAGGGTATATGGACCCTTTCGACTTGGGAACAAAGGGCGTCCATCATGCGAAGATTCTGCGACTTCGCGAAAAGGAACGATCTAGAGGTTCGGAGGGGAAATTTTCCTTTTTTTATAGTAAGTCTACAACTCACCAAGAGCAGCGCGGTGCAATACACAAGAACTTTGTTGACCTTACTGGCCTCAGGGGGATCGCCAGCACAGATGTTTTTGGCCGGTCTTCAAAGGAAGGCGGCCACAAACCCCATAAAACAGGCTCGCCCCATGGAGAGGTGGGGATCGGATCTCATCAGCGATATTTCAACCTTAAAAAACAATCGTGTAGCCTGAATATTCGTCTGGGTCACAGCCGCTCGGTGGGGTGAAATCGCTCTACCCAAAAGGAAACTTTTACCCCCTACCCTCAAACAAGAAAGCCCTCAGGGTAGACTTGGGGGCTCTCCCAAAGGCATTCAAAACCGATCTTCACAGAGCGGCGCGATATGTGGTTATCGGGGAAAAAAGATGCAAAAAGGGCGAGAGGCGTCACCACGGGAATGGTGGAGGGGGAACGGCTCACAACTTTAACTACAAGAGGCATGGAAAACCTACTCCGCCCATTCGGCATGACAGCGCATTCCATAAAACGAGAGACACTGGCGGTTGCAGCCGCAGCGGTGATCTAATACGATCTCGACCCTCGACTACTAGCCCAGTTGGGGAAACACGCAGACCCTCTAGAGCTGCCACGCAGCACAGCTCGCTACATAGGGCCCTGGGCCGCCCTGGTAGACAAGCCGGCACATCTTATGACACATGTAGACCAGGTCAGCAATTGGGCTATGTTTCCATTGGCCTATCTGGAGAGAGAGCAGGATAAGGGCAACCGTTTCAAGGGAATAGCATTTTGCGACGCACCCATCGCACACGGGTGGCCGATAAGAACAATGAAAGAAGGCTACCGTTGCAACAGGTAGACGTGGATACTCTCTCATTGCACTGGATCCGGAGCCGGCTTAACTCCAGGGCTCTAGAACGTTTTAACACAGTAAGGGACTTGGTGCAACAGCCAGCTATTTTCAGGACAGGGGAACGAGGGCCCCTCTTGAGGATGACAGAAGGGGGTGCCCAGGTTATGAAGAGGGCTGGCGTTATTTAAACCGCACCAACGCTACCCACTACAGGGTGGGTTGTGCCTTTTACGGTGGTGGGGGAAAAACAGTCGGGGCCGCGCCGCCGTTTCATAGCATGGCCAAAAGCTAAAAATGAACAAGAGGACTACGAGGCTTTGGTTCCTCTGGGGCATATTTTCCGTTACCTGGGTGCGGTTTACGGTGAGACAGCCGCCATTTTCGATTTAAAGGCATCTTTTTTCCAGGCAGGCCTGCCAGCAGAGACACGCGGTAATTTCCGTTTCCGGACAGAAAAGGGGTAGCTCGTTGAGTTCACGCGAC